AACACTTATGTGTGCACATGTATGTGTACATATGTGCATGGTTTTGTTAGGTTCTGTGATATGCAACTTCTGTCTTTCTGTCTTTCTGTCTTTCGTTTTTCTTTCTTCGGAGATAGGGTGTTCCTATAACTCCCCTGGCCTGGAAGTTGCTAAGTAAATCAGCCTGCCCTTGATCTCACAGAGATTTGTCTGCCTCTGCCTCCTGAGTGTGTATGTGTATTTGCTGTTTTGAGATAGGACCTCACACTACAGCCCAGTCTGGCCTGGTACTTGTTGTGCATCCAAGATGGATTTTGAACTTGTGATTCTATGACCTCAGCCTCCCAAGTGCTGGAATTACAGGCGTGAGCTAGTACACCTAGCTTCAGAAATTCCATTTGAATAGTACATTGGAATGTGCAATATAATAATTTAAATTCGAACTTAGATAACAAATATCATCTTCAAAAATCTAGACTAATAAACTATGGAAAAGATTCTTAGATACACCATTATTAAACTTCAAAAAATATATTCTCCCCAAATTAATGTAATCTTATGATATTTTAAAAGCTGAAGTTTCTGTGCTTTGCAGCTTTATGGAATAATTAAAGCTTCATTAAACATCTATGGGCCCTTCTGATAAATACCTGAAAAAGGACTGTTGTTTCTTTGTTTTCAGAATAATTTTGTATTTCACTATGTTTTATCAAAACTGGAGTTAGAGCCATTTAACAGAGTGCTGAGAGCTCTGATCCACTGAAAGAGCAAGACAGAAGTAGCAGGGAAGAATGAGACTAGCCTTGTGTGAACATGTGGGTGTTCTTGCTTCCAGGGCCCGTGTTGGTGATGCAGCCATGTGTATGTGTGCTCTGGTCACTTTAAACTTCAGGAGCCCATAGGGACCATCCTGATCTTCTGTCTTGTTGCTGATGAGGAAGCTCAATTGTCCAGTGTGAAGGAGCTTCAAGGCTGTGGCTCCCCTGTTGATGGCAATCTACAGGAGCCTGTGGTTAAGGGAGCTTATTCGGATCTGCATTCCTTGAGGTACGTGTGTCTCCAGGGTAGTGTTCTAAAAGACATAGAAACCAATGTGAGTGCCATTGGTCACAGTCAAGGAGAAACTGCCTTTAGGGACTTCACTCCCATCATGATAGTAACGAATCAGGTTCCTGTTCAGTTCCTGCTTGGTGAAAGTGGTCACAGAATGGCTACCATTATACAAAATCTTGCCCCGGATGGGAACTTGAATGATGGTAAAAATTATAAAATCATTTGCGGTATCCTTATCTTCCACTGTTAAGTGGACAGGAGTGATTAGGATGCTTTCTCCTCTTTGCAGTGTTAAATTTTGGATGATCAAGGTTTCTTATTGTCCCCATCTGAGATAAAGATCCTGGGGGCTCTAAATGCAGAACTGTGTTCACTAGTCACTCTAAGCTCAGGACACTCTGTCTTTATCTCATCCTTTGAGATGCGGACATCAGATATTTTGTTGCCAACCAGTGGAGGCTCAGTGAAAGATGCCATAGGTTCCCCAGGCTGGTCAGAGTTTTCTAAGTGGCCCAGGCTAGGAGCCTGTGAGATGTTAATATGAAGTTGCTCACCAGGGCTGTGGATGTCACTGGTATTAAGCAGTTCAGTGCTGAGGGTCACTCTGCCACCTCCTGTCAAGGTGACCCTTTTGCTATTTCAGGAGAGATCCTGTTTAAGCTGCCAATGGTAGAGTAGAACTAGTGGTCCTTCGAAGTGTTAACTCCACCAGTCACATCAAACCTGATGTCGCCAGAGTTCCCTCTGGGTCTCTTGCGCTATCAGGCAAACCATATAACATATCTTTATGTAAATTTATTATTACTGTGGGGGGTGGGAGGGGAGTGACTTACAAAGAAACAAACACCCAGTGCCTAGCTCTGCACCACGGCTCAGAGCCCGCCATTCCAGATAGCTCCTGTGGCCTGCCCATAGTCACCACTAGCTTTTGCCCATGCCTCAGGGGCCAGCAGTTTTGCCCTAGGTCCATAAGTGTCAGGCCATTCTGTTCTTGAGTGTGCATGGCTAATGCACCCCCTTCGTGTTCATGACTCTGGTTCAAGATGGTGCCACAAGCCCCTCTTTCCACAGCTAACTCTCCAGAGTCAATCTCTGTAGCAGGTCCCACCCTTTGGAGGAAACGGGCAGCTTGGGACACACTTGGGAACATCAACAGCCCTTTCTTGGCCCGTGTGAGCATAACAGATGAGGGATCTATCAATTTCATCCTGGGTAAAGTTCAATCCCACAGTGAGGTTGTGTCTCACTTCTCCTCGTGGTCTTCTCAGTCCTTGTAGAAGCCCTTGTTGAGGCTCGGAATAGAAGGTGAAACTGAGGCTCTGATCATCAGAGTCAAGATCTGTGGCCTTGAGGATGCGATCTGTGATAATCTCAAGAGTGTCCAGTCTCTACTTCCAGCCCATCATTGATGATCAGTCGAGGGGCTTCATCGTCCAGCAACATTACCACGATGAGCACCTCTTTGTGAGTGGTGTGTCTACTGTCACTCAGCCAGACCTCAAAGCTGTCCCTGAGTCATCATGGTCATATGCAATGGAGGCGGCCTCCTGGGTCTCTTGTAAAGAGAAGCTATGGATGGGCTGCTGCCTGTGGCCAGCTGCTGCTGATTTGTCCATGTAGTGGGAAGGCTTTGAGTTGAAAATGGAGCTTATCTGGTGGCAGGTCAGCATCTACTCCATTGAGCAGTGAAGCATCTATGACCCTGCTTATTCCCTCTAATACGACAAACTTGTGGGTGAAAAGTTGAGGCTGCTCATCATTACTGGGCAAGATGATAACAGGAAGGAGGACATTTGGAGAGAAGTTGATGCCATCAGAGCAATGAAAGGTGAATTGATCTGCTTGTGGCTCTACCCCCTTGTGGATACTCTGTACATAATTGATATACCTTACTTTGACATCCTTGATGGAGAAAGCACTGATGGGGCTCCAAGCTCATGACACGTCTGTACCAGGAGCTGGTGCAATGTTCCAGGTAGCCAGAGGCTGGATGCCTAGTCATGGTACAAGGAATTTTATTTTCACGAGTGTTTACATCTTCAATGTTGAGATTCTGTGGGGTCAAGAGGCTCTTCTCACCTTCATATACAATGAAAGACTCTCCTTCCATGACCTTGGTGGCCACATTGTCCACCAGTAGCACTGTCACTTTCATCAGCACCCTCTCCACGATGTTGTTCCCCATTGACTAGTGATAAAAATCCTTGGAGAGGAAGAGGCTGAGAGCATCATGCTTCTCTTGGAAACACCCCTCCAGTGTGGACACAGATTACTATCCCACCAATGAGGTCTCATTGGGTGAATCATTCTGTGGGCAAACCATTCACCAGAATAGTGCCCAGTTTGGGCTTGCCACCCACAATGAAAATAGCATTAAGTCACTGGTGTCCTTTTTGCTATGAATAATACCCATGGTGATCTCAGTAGCTGTATTCTCAACTATGTCTATGGAAATATTCAATATTGGGCTACCCATGAAAGAGATCTGGGGACTTTTATCAGCCACAGTAGGATGCACAGAAATCTGGACAGTGATGGGTATATGGTGCACCCCATCACTTACTTTCAGGTAGAAGATGTCACTGGTAGTCTGAACACTACTATGCTGATAAGAGATGTTCCCATTAACAATATCTGCTCATATGAAAGATTCCCCTGGGACCATACATTTTTTTTAAAGACTGTAAGTATCCTTGGTGAGGACCCCAGACTAAAATAAAGACAATTTAATCAATGTCTGTGTCAGGATCTCTAACATTGAGTTCATCACTCCCGAGACTAAAGCTATCTTCCTCTAAGACAGCAAAGCTTCTGTTGGTGACTTCTGTTGGCTGGTGTGCAAAGGCTGCAAGGAAAATGTGAATGTGCCTGGCACTTTGTTGCCACCAGCATCCTCTACCTGGTAGGTGAATTGTGCAACCCGAGGTACAATGCCCAACTTCTGTGATGGCTGATAAGCAATCTTTTGATGATTGACGTGGGCCTGGGTAAAATGTATTATGGGTCTGTTTGGTGAATCAGTGAGTACAATTTTCCTAGCCTGGAGTTGGTGATTGCCATCAGCATCAATTGGTGGTGTCAGTAGCATGTATCACAGGTTCTGATCATCTGGGTTCTGGTCAATATATTGAAGAAATATATATATCACTCCTTTCTTCTGGAAGGGAGTGAGCTGTTATCCTTGCACAATCATTTTGAGGGTAGCTCCTGGACACAGGTGTAGATTCAACTTACCTGGAGGCCGGATACTAATGGTGAAGAAGTACTAGTTGGAGAGATTGGGTAGGTCATGGTCATCCTGCACATGGAAAGACAGGTGAGCCACTGTAGAATGAAGGATCTGTGGCCCAAGATGGCAGAAGAGGAGTCTCCCTTCAGTCATATCTCTCTGTAGCCACTCAGAAACCACCTTCTCATAAAGACCCTCCTTTTCCACATAGTACCAGTCATTCTGCTGAAGGAACAAAGGGGGTTCAGCTTGTCTCAGCAACATGTCACCTAGGTGTTGGCTTGGGTGATAGGAATCAGGTATCAGTCAGAGTGCATTTTCTCTCTTCATCTTTTCCTTCCGGCCACTGGTCCAGCACAAAGAGGATACTCAGGACAAAGGGGGATATCTGGACCATCTGCCTTGGGTCACTGAGAGTCCTGTGTTGGCAGTGACCACTGGTGGCTCATCGTCCACAAGCATGGTGGTGATAGGGAAGAGGAAATTCGCCTGATGGTGCTCATCCTCCATCTAGCAGATGATGTTGTCACTATAAGAGTCACTACCATCAAGCTGGTACACCACTAGGCTGGCTTTTAGGTCTGTTGGCATGAAATACTTGTACCTAGCAGGCACCCCAAGTACCAACCGGTTGCCCATGTTGCAAGCCTCTGAAGGCAGCAATTTTCAGCTCTTCTAGACTATCTTTATCACTGATCTGAAAGCTTTGGACATTGGACAGGGGCCTTGCCTGGCCTTCAAAAACCAGAAATCCTCCATTGTAGCAAGCCACAGGAGCCAGGGCATTCATGGATTTCACCACCACCATGAAGGCAAAAGGATTTGATGTATCACCATCTCCGTCCATCTGCAGTTCCAGTTGGAAGATCCTGTTCCCTGAGCTCCCTGTTGGAGACAGGCAATCTTCATCTCCCACAGCTCCTTCTGGGTAAAGAAAGAGACTGGAAGGCCTAGGCGGTTGTCAGTGCTGACCGTATAGCCCTGCTGGCCAGGGTGCCCAGGTGGGGCTACAGGAACGTTGAGAATGTTGCAGACCAGGTTGTCAGGGTCTGACTCTATGTCTTCTGAGGTCAGTGCACCAGGCATCAGGGCTGTTAGTAGGGACTGATCAACCTCCACCGTCATCAGAAGCAAGAAACTGGGCCTGGGTGCAGTGTTCTCCATTCTTTTCTGAATGCTCACTTGCAGTTGGAAGTGCTCCTGGGCCAGCACCTTCACTGATCCAGCACCTTGGGCATCTGACCCCAGCAGTTCCACCATCATGGGCACAGTAGTTCCTGCTGGGCCAGAAGGGAGTGGCGGTGTGTTGGTAGAGCACCCCAGCCTGGACAAAAGCCTCACAGTCAATATGATTGCCCCTGAAGACAGGGATCCCTGAGGCAGCCACCAAGTGCCCATCTTGGGCAGTGGGCTGGGGTGATAAGAATGGCACCTGTGCAGGGCAGCAGCACTAGACTCCAGGGAGAAATCTAGCACTCTCCTGTCTATGGTCCTATGGTTTGAACACTCTGAAAGGCCTGTTGCATTTCACCAGCTGGAGATTGGAGAAGACAACATCCCTCACTGGAGTGAAGGGCAGCACCAGCGTGGAAGTCCCTGTGTTGTAGCCCAGCTGCAGCTGCACCTGGGTAAGTTTGGCACTGAGAGAACCAAAGTGAGTGTACCTGACCTAGTGGGCCCTGAAGTGGCCGGGGAAGTGGCACGAGAAGAGCATGCCTTGGAGTCATGTGGGGACCTTCAGTACTATCAGCTCACAGGGGTCAGTCCCCTGGCTCAACTGGAATCACCAGGTCGCAGTGGGTCGAGCGGCCCAGGGGCACTCGGAGCTTGGAGTTGGTGATCAGGACACTGGGGCTCTGGTGGCTGCCGGCATGGAGTACTCACCAGGGGGGCAGGTAGGGTTCTTGGTGGGACTGGTTCCCAGACAAGGGTACCTGTCCGGGCAGTGCAGGACAACTCAGAAGTGAACAGGCGAGAGTCACTACCAGTTGCGAGGATATCCTAGATGTGCAATTTCAGCCATCTCCGCTGGAAACCTGATGTTGAGATACCCAGAGGATGCTCTGTTAGAAAAAGGATCCCTTAGCTCTTGGTGCAGAGGTGGAGACAGTGATGCTGTCCAGGTGGGCAGGAGAGGAGGCTTGGATCCCACAGGAGCCAGCGGTTGCCCGTCAACGGCCCCAGGTACTAGCTGCTAGGAAGGGGCTCTGTGCTCCTCTACTCCACTCCCTGGTTTGCCCTAGGGACCACCCAGCCCAGATGTACCTCAGCATCACAGGACCAATTCAGCACACAGGCAGGCACTCTGCTTCTGCTCCCTCAGTCTTCACCCCAGTTTCCTTAAGGTGGTCCAGGGTGGTGCAACCCTGGGTTGCCTGCCCCCTTTTGTCCGGATACTCTCTTCCTTGGGAGTCACAAAAGTATTGTCTCTTAGGGCTGGATGAGCAAGGGCAACTGTGTGCCGGTGAGGTCTGCGCATGGGAGACTCAGCTGGCTCCGTCCAGGTCCATTCTTTCAGGAATTTGTGTCTCTGGTAGAGCTCGAAACCAGCATACCTCTCTTTTAACCACTGACAGAGGTGTGCTTTCTTGTCAACATGAAGCCTCATTTTGGACATTAAAAAAAAAGCTGGTTGGAGGGAGCGGTTTTACAAGTATGATTTTCTAGCTGGGTGTCTGATGAAGCAGTTTAATTCCAGGTCTTGTAGTTCTGAGAGTGGGGAGGTGGAGAGGTGGTAGGTAGGGGGTGGGGAGGTAGAGGATGCAATAGCTTCCAGGCTGGCAGTCTTGAATAGCCTGTCATCCAGTTAGTGCAACTCACATAAGGCAGTTGGGTGTGCAGGACCTTATGCTACCTCCCACCCTATTTCCATATCTGATCAACACACTGAGCTGCTACTTTGTTAAACATGGCTGTTCCCTGAAGAAAGTCCCAGGTGAGGAGGCAGGGGGAACAGTAATAGAAAATTCCATCTAACATCCCGAATCAGGCTTTAGAGTGTATTGATTCCCGTCTGTGGGTGGACTGACCTGTCTTAATTTCTTCCAGATTACAAGGGTCCATTTGGCTACCGTGCAGGGTAATCGCCTATAAATGGAAGGGTAACTAATGTACTTTCTTTTCTTATGCAATTAATGTGAATTAGAGAGACTTTTTGGTGATGGATGAATGCAAAACTCTATTGATAAAAATGGTTTCAAAGAGGAACGAAAATTTGCAGGATGTCATCTGCAAACTAGTCTTTTGATTTTCTTCATGTAAAGTCTGCTTTATTTATGGTAGCAGCAACCTCCACTGGAGTCCACCATTGTCATGGCCACTGATTCCCAAAGCAAGAATAATAGGTACCAGCTTGAAAGAGTTCATCTTCCTTCTAAACAGTAAACTAGTCAGTGAAATGTGGTGGTGGCTGTAATGCACTAACACAGAATGCTAGTGCAGCTCATTAGCATCCAGACTATAAGACACCACAAGTTTTAAATAATTATGTTTAACATAATTATACAGTGTTATCCAGTGCATTCAGAAAATATTATTTTTAATATACTTTTAATTTAAATATAGTTATAATTTATTATGCATGAATGAAGCATCATATCTCAGAAAGCTTCTTAATACCGTCTGAAGGATGAGTTTTTATAAATAAACTTTTTTTATTGTTGTTTTGAGACAGGGTATCACTGTGTAGCTGAGGATCACCTTAAATTTATGACCCCCAGGCTCAGCCTCCTGAGTGCTGGAATTTTATGTATTCATCACACACATCTGTAATAAAAGGGCTTTTATTTATTTGGGATTTATTTTTATTTTATGTGTATGAGTGTCATGCCTGCATGTGTGTAAGTGCACCCATGTCATGCGATGCTGGCGGAGGGCAGAAGAGGGAGATAGAGCCTCTAGAACTGGAGTTACAGACTGTTGTTAGCTGCTATGTGGGCGCTGGGATTTTAACTCATGTCTTCTACAAGAGCAATCAGTGTTCTTAACTACTGAACCATCTCTCCAGTCCTTATAAAAGGACTTTAAAAAGTCTGCATATATTCAATTTTACCAACTGGGCATTCAAGTATGAGTATAGTTTGGTTCTTGTCTAAGTGCTACTCCCTCTGAGGCAACTACTCTGTTCATGTGCTGTTTCCATGGATGCAAAAGATGGAGGTGCACAGCTCAGATGACAGATTGCTAAGTTATTATATTTATCCTTTTTCTCTCTGACCTTCCCTATTCAGCAGATACCCTTGCTCCCCTTCTTCACTATCTCATGTCTTGGAGGGTCTCCTCCCCCCACTCCCTTACTGTCTCATTTCTTCACATCTCCTTCAGACACTCCTATCTGGCTTCCATCTTAGACACAATAACCAAACATGTGCTAAGGTCATTCATAATCTTTAATGTGACAAAATCTTATGATGGTCTTTCTTACAATCTGTGCTGATGCATCATTCTGATTTCCCTCCTCCCAGTTTAAGTTGACACCTCTCCTATATGATCAGCCAGCCATGTCATTAAATTTCCCTTTGCAATTGAATGTTCATGCATACACCCGTTGATTGAGGCCTGTCTGCCCTAATCTTGAAGCTCATGATAGCAAGGAGAGTGCAGTGGTGACCACTAATGCCTAGTGTGTATGCCCTGGGCGGGCATGCAGCAAGCAGTTTTTGACTGAGTGAAAGAACAGAAGAAGGAAAGCAAATCAGAAGTGGTAACTGACAGATCATGAAGTCTAGGTGCTAAGCAGAAGCAAGTGCAGCAGGTGAAGGAAAACCTTCTTCCTTCCCAGAATGCACTGAATTCATTGGAGGATGTGGCCAGCTGTGTTGAGACAGTGCAGATTTGTTTTCTAGCCAAATATTTGTATCATTCAATTTTTCTTTCCACAGAGCAATTGAATTTATCCGTATTGTACATCTGTATCTCATCCCCTCAAATTTGTCCATTCAACCTGAGCTATTATTTCAAATCTATCATTAAGTAAGAAGGAAAAACAAAACAAAATAAACTTTGTGCTCTGTCCATGGCTTTTATAAGCCCTACATCATGTGACTCTGCAAAAGCTGTGCAAGGTGGTTGTATGTCTTATTTCTAATTTATGCATAATAATAGCTCTAACTTCATAAAGAGGCTATGAGAATTAAATGAACTACTGCTCATAAAAAGCTTCTTTGAATAGTGCCTGGCACACAGTAAACACTAAATAAATTTAAGTTACTATTATAATTAAAGATGGGAAACAGATTTACAGGCATTTAGCGGAAAATGCCAATATCACCAAAAGTGTGCCCCACAGGGGACGACTGACTCCTCACATACTCTTGACAGTCCAAGGGGACTTTTCATTATTCACCATTCCACAAATAATTGATGCGGCTCTAAGTACATAGAACGAATGACATTCAGTGAGGCACAGGAGTAGGGAGAGGGTCCAAATACCCTTCATGTGCTTTGGAAGGAAGACAAACCATTTTTAGAATGATCATAACCAGTTTTGGGAAGAAGTGACTGAGAATATCTGTTGGAAACTTCCCATCCACTGAGCAAGGAAGCTCTACAACAGAAATTCCTGGGTCCCCAGGCTAACCCAGTCAAGATGAGTGATGCAACCCATACTTGTTGAAAATATTTTTTTTGCTATCAGTTGGTGGGAACTGAAAGTTATTAAGCACTATGTATCAGGGGATGGATGCCTTGAATCAGTTTGTTTGCTAATGATTAGCAAAATACTTTGGTACTGCCTAGCTGGAGGTTTTAACATAGTTGACCTTGGGCTACCAAAGGACTTGTAGATACTGAAGGACATGCTAGGGAGGCGACTAGTAAGAAACAAAGTCACAACAAAATAGAACATTCAAATGATATCCACTGGCTATGTAGGTAATTTGTCATCTACCAGGACTGCAGCTGAAGAGAAGTTAGCGACATTGTACAGACTGTATGAGGCCCCACCTCACTGACTGTCCCAGGGATGTGCCATCCTTGCACAAATCTGGACAGGGTTCCCCATGCCCTGAGAGATAGGTGCATTGTTATCTAGGCCTTTGCATATGACAAGATGTTGTTGAGGGCAGGCCTTATCTAGTAGAAGATCCCATTCAGAATAACCACGGTGTGTCCTTAAATTTCCACAATGAACTATTTTTAGTCAGTGTAGTGTCATGGTTGAATGTGAAATGTCCCTTCATAGGCCCATGTATTTGAACATTTTGTCCCTAGCTATTGGAGCTGTTTGGGGAGGTTGTAGAACTTTAGGAGGAGATGTGCTGGAGGAAGTAGGTTACTGGGGCCAATACCTGAAGTACTATAGCCAGGCTCCATTTTCTTTCTGCTTCCTGCTCCAAGATGTGAGGGGCCCCAACTGCAGTAACTCCTGCCACCAAGGAGCCTCCTGATGTCATGCCCTCTCCTCCATGATGCATGGTATCTCCTCAAACAGTAATCCCAAACAAACCCTTTCCTCCCTGACGTTTTTACAGGTGTTCTGTCACAGCAATGAGGAAAGTAGCTAATGCAGACATCCTGCTTGCTCCCCTACAAAGAAGCTGTTTCATGTCAAGGTAAACTAAGCTGTTACAGCCTTTGGTAATCAGGAGGGGTAAAGAAGGTGAGGGATGAAAGAAATTAACATCTTGCCTGTCCTGAGACATCACCTGTCATGTGGCAGAGAGAGCCATCCTTTAAGATATTGGGTACATGGGCTCCTGATTCCCAGAGCATGTGTGGAGGTTGTCGCTGCTCAAGGAAAACGATGAGCAGTCAGGAGTCAGGAAGAGGTGACATGCGGGGGCAACTGAAGAAGGCTCAGTGCTGCTCTGCACCAATGCCAAGGACTGCTTTTATGCTCATTTGTTCTTTTTTTGAGATAGGATCTCATGTATACTGTTGTGTGTATGATCTCTCACGCCTGTGCATGTCTAGCACAGCCAAGCTGCACTCCCATGTCCCTGGGCTTTGTGGTTTTGCAGTTTTAAGGAGAGTGTAATCTGTAGTTGTCTTTGCTAGTTTATTGACTTCACAGAGTCATAGACATTTTTCATAGGTTTTATACACACACACACACACACACACACACACACACACACACAGAGTTTACATTGTCAAAACTAGCAGGCACAAAGAACTGAATTCTGTCCTTTAACACATTGGAGTCTTTCAATACCATACCCTGTGTTGACAGCTTAAGTCATATTTGTGCAGTTGCTGCAGTTGTGCAGTTTGCTCAATTGAAATTCTCTTGAAATGGTAAAGAAAACTATTTACAAAAGAGTTATCATTTACAACTGTGAATCTGCCTGAATAAGATTTCCTATAACTGTGATACTAAGCAGGTGAAACATGCCAATATTTAAGGTGCTGAGTCAGTGAGGTTCCTGTAGTTGTCCACAGTAAGATTTGCAGTCTCTGGTTATGATCATGGGGCTCAACCGTGATGTAGTGGGAAGAGATCTGGCCTCGTACTGTCAGGACTAAGACTCTGTGTGCATTAGTCATGATACCTTGGGAAAGAGCCACATACATGTACCTCTCCGGTACTCATTCTGAGTCTATCCTCCTGTCCTCAATATGGAGCTGTTAACACTAGTATCCCCATCATGAGTTCCTAATAAAGTAAGA